GCTTAGAGAGGGCTGAAAGCCCTATGAAGCGGTATATAAGTCTAACTGCTATTGCTATATTTGCTTTCCTATGTAGGTGTTTAGAAAAATGTAGGTGTTTAGAAAAATATTCAGAACTTGGCAGAAACAAATGGAATACAAATGTACAGTATAATAATGAAATGTCTTAAAAACCAAATAAGCAAAAAAAAAAACCTCTCCTAGTGAAATTCAAGCCATTAACTTCAATAAATGTAAATGGATATTCAAATTCTTGAATGATAAGTATAATCTTTATTGTTATTGTACTGAAATACAACAAAATTGGTTGCTCATGATGGATACATCGCATAATGGTTTTATTTTGATGAAAAAATCTTTGTCACATTGGTTTTAAATCCTGGTTTGAAGAAATTCCAATTTCATTTTTCCAATGTATTCAGTGGATAGACCAATGAAAATTCTTCTTCTTCAGTCTCTCAATGTGTAGAATTCGGCTAATAATAATAATAATACGTTATAGATGTATGGTGGGGATAATATGGAAGCAATGCACATAAATTATTTTGAATGTTTAAATGAGCTATGTATATGTGGACACTAATAAGACAAGTGTTATCATAAAGACCTCTTTAAATAATTTTCAAAATATTATTTGAATCAGTATCATAAGCAAACTAGCAACTTTTATAATACTTACCATCAGTCTATTTAGAACTGATGAATGGCTGTCATAGTATTGTTCCAATTTTTGTTTAATCCTCTCTCTCAAATCTATGTAGTTTGCTGAACAAACTTTCCAGTTCTTTTGCTCTGCTTTCAGAAGATTCTAGGAAAAGATATGAAATAATAAATGTTAATAAGCAGGATTTATTTTACAGTATACAATCTGATATTATAAACCAACTAAGATACCCTTAATAATTTTGTATATACTATTTCAGAAAATTAAGTTAATAATCAGATATGTTGCAAAGCTATGGGAACTGTTTTTTAAATTGAATGAGTCTTCTTTATCAGTAATATGACTATTTCCTTTGAATTGCAAATAGCAGATTTGGAGAGGTGTTCTACTTTTTCTTAATTCTGAAAGAATTAATCCTTCTCTTTCTATGATCTCAATGCTGTCTAGAGCTACCACTGACTGCTATTGATAACGCAAGAATGTGAATATGAATTGTGTTAGCAAAGTCAATGTTTAATTTGTTTCTAAAATTAAAGACTTTCTCCATTTTTCCACACACATAGCCTCGCAATATGAGAGCTAAATAGGTACTCAATTTATTTGCTCATGGCAAGGCACTCTATCCATTAAGAATTATATGGAGCCTTTGAACTATGGACAATTTATAATATTTCAATACTTGTATACAAATTCAAGGACCAATCAATTGGGTTGAAGGTAAAGTAAATGCAATGTGTATAATGATATCATTTGCACATGCTAGTAATGCATAATGTTATAATCTGCAAATTCAATTTGGTCCAAGAGGCTTATCTATTCTTCTATTACACTGCTAAATGGTAAGACTTATTCTATATTTGAAAAAATAATAAATTGTAAATTATAAATGTAAGGAAATTATGGCAAAAATATATTAACTACTATATAGCTGAAAAGATCTTAGCAATGTTAAACAATTGTTTAACATTAGCATTGCTACTGTATTTGTTTGTTTGTATTCCACCTTTATTATAGTTATAAATAATTTAAGGTGGTGAACATATCCAACACACATTCATCCTCCTAGTTCCAATTATCAGTCTCTTCTTGATCTAATATAAAATTTAAATTGGATTAGTCCGACTTAATACAATAGCAGATGTGGAAGGGTCCTTGGAAGTCTTCTAGTCCAACCCCCTGATTAGGCAGGAAAACCTATACCGTTTCAGACAAATGGCTATCCAACATCTTCTTAAAGACTTCCAATGTTTAAGAAGGCATTCTTAATTTCACAACTTCTGGAGGCAAGTTGTTCCACTGATTAATCCCATGCTTTTTATTTCTTCTAAACTCCATAGAAGATGGAAATTTTAGAAATCCCTTTTGATAGTCCCCCAGTTCTTAATTCAACATTTTCATTCTATCAACACAAAATGTAGCTATTTGAATTAAATTTTTCACTACAGAATTTAGAAATTGTCTTTGGCAGAAATGAAAAAAATATCTCTATTGCACTGTATGTTGCTGGATTTCCAGTGTATAAACAATTTTTTTTTTAAAAAAATGCTGGAATAGCAGAACCCAATGTTATTTTATTTTTAAAATTTCTATCTCGTCCAACTCACTGTCCAATTACAATTGAATAGCAACAGCAATAGCACTTAGAACTTATATACCACTTTCCAGTCCTCTCTAAGTAGTTTACAGAGTCAGCATATTGCCCCCAACAATCTGGGTCCTCTTTTTACTGACCTCAGAAGGGTGGAAGGCTGAGTCAAACTTAATTGAGCCTGGTGAGATTTGAACTGCCAAACTGCAGGCAGCCGGCAGAAGTAGCCTGCAGTATTGCATTCTAACCACTACACCACCGTCAATCCAGAACAGAAGCCCAAAAAGTACGTATCATGGTCTTACAAGCATATTTGAAAATTCATTTTCTGCCTTAACTATTTTAACGAGTCATTGACACAAGGAAAAAGGCAGTTTTTGTGTAATTGTGTAAGGGCCAAGATTTATTGGCCTGAATTATTTATTCAAATAGCTTACCTTGCAAGCAAAAAACCTCCATGACTGAATCCTTCCCTGGGAATAAGGAACAATGCATACATTTCTAAAACATGTAAAGAAAAATACCTGTTGCTTTGTTTGGCTACAAAATCTTACAGATGAAGTGGACAAGCATTTAAAGTGGTTCCTGAGGTGGCCAATACTGCCTTTCAAAAAAGAAGGAAAATATTTAATGCCTGAATACATGATGACAAAATATTCATCTTGCTTGATTCTTCATTCTTATTTTGAGAACTGTTAAAATCCAAAGTAATAACAAATCCAAGTAAATTAGTCGCAGCCAACAGATGTTTCACTTTCAAATGAATACAATCTTCAATTCTACTGGTTCAGACCTGGAGGAGAAAAAAGAAATTATAATTTTAATGGAAGAGAAATTATAAACAAAGCTGAGACTTTTTAACCTTACTGGTTTCTAAAAACAATACTGGCATTAAAAAACACACTAAAAGAATACTTCATATTTTCAAAAGATATTGCTATGTCCAAGTCTCTTCTTATTGCCTGGAGAAATCCTTGCAGTTTTCTTGGCAAAATTGTCATTATGTCCTTTCTAGGACTGAGAAAACGACTGGCTCAAGGTCACATAGCTAGTTTTGACCTTAAGGTGGGACTACAACTCAGATTCCTGGTTTCTAGCCTCTAACCACTGCATCAAATTGGCTCTTCATTCCATTTGTCAAAAGATAGGTCACTATTTCACAACCAAGAACCCCAATATAATTTTACTGAATCTCCTTAAGGATGGCAGAAGATTTATAGCAAGAATTTAAGGAGTACATGCCAAGTGCTTTATTTGCTACAAGAACCTCACAGGTTAAAGGAATTAACTGAACCCAATATTTCCAGTACTGTAATCTCACAATTGTACCAGACAAAGAATGCTGCAGGTCATCAATGGCTAGACTGATTCTTTATATCAATTTTTAAACTTTATGTAATTGTTACAATAATATCCGTTCTACAATATTCACAACACAGGTACTCATTCCTCTATTTTTAATCTGATTATTAAAATGTCCACAATCCATATTTCCAGCTTTTGATTCTTGTTTCTTGTTTTCCAATTGAGATCTGCAGTTCAGTTTTATATACTTTTGCTATCTTTCCCTGACTCTTTAGATCCTTCTTGTACCACTTTTGGCTAAGGCATAGTTAAAATTAAATGGCAATCATGGTATCCCTAAGGTAACAGGCATTCCACCTGGGGGTTGGAAATATATATATAAAAATATCAACATGTTTTAAAGGCCTACACCTTTTAAAATGTTTGTGAAGAATTTTGCTGTCCTGTCCCAGGGCTGGCTTACACACACACACACAAACACAGAGAGAGAGAGAGAGAGAGAGAGAGAGAGAGAGAGAGAGAGAGAGAGACAGAGACAGAGACAGAGACAGACAGACAGACAGACAGACAGACAGACGGATGCAGACAGATGGATGCAATGCAAGTCTTTACTTTGGTTGAGCAGTTATAGCAGTGGCTGGATGGTTATGTCTTAAGAAACACACCCATGCAGTCTTCAACAGTACTAAATCCCTTAAACAGTTACAGACAAGATCCCAGTAAGCAAAGTGCAGTGCAGCAAGCAGACGCACTGTCAGGACACAGTACAGAAATAGAATCATTGAAGGTGATCAACTGGTCCATATTCAAAAGCACAGATTTTTTTTACAGACAATAGTTCAGGGCACAATAGACAGAGGTCTGGTAAATGGAGTGGTTGTTCTCAACAAAGAATTGCTATCTAGTGATGGCTCTAAAATGAAAGCAGTCACCGGTGAGAGTGCTCGTCTTGGAAGGAGCTGTGCAGACTTTCTCTGTTCTTCTCTTCATTCAATCTTACATATCTTAGTATGGGGAGGAGGTCCTAGATCAGACACATCATCTTCTACCATTTCTGACTGCTACATAGGGCTTTTTGTTTAACCTTTGTGATATTAGTCTGTCTCTTGAGGAAAAGCTATACTACCTGCCCATGGGATTACATTATAGAAACTATTTATTTTTTTAAAAAACTTTTCAATTTCAAAAATATATTGTTGAATCCCTATCTCTCTCACACACCAGGATTAGGAGGAGGACACCAAGTGAGGCACTCCCTCTTAGAATATAATGCTATGTGGGAATGACCTTGGAAGACAAGAGCCACAGCCATGACAACAATCTAATGTGATTTGAATGCAAAAGAGGTGGGGTGGTGAAAGCATCTTAGAAGGAACACTGTTTTTCAGAAGAGTAAAAATGAGGGACAGGAGGTCTGCATTTCAGACTTATAAGATTCTGTTAATGTAATCTTACAATAAAGATACAGGTTGGGATTCTAGATCTGCTTCTTGTTGTGGTTAATTTTCAAGGCTGATAGAAAGGTGTATAATGATAGCAAATACCTGCCATCATCCCAAATCAAAAGGTGAGCCAAGGTGTGAGAAGATGTCCTAGAAATCCACTTCCTCTATGATTCTCCCATTGCCGAAATGTGAATGGCCCTGAAATTTAACAAGCATTGACTATACAGGGATATGCTTGCAGTAGCCACCAGGTGGCCAATAATAGCGGTATAGGACCTCACTTCAAGTCTTACCTTGATTTGTGGCATACTGACCACTCGGCACACTTGTGACAACAATTCACTTCTGAAATAGACCACGGAAAGCTGAATAGAACCTGCTTCTGCATCAGGCTGGGGATGGGCTGAGGATGTCACACCCTTAATGCAATGTTCTGCATTAATGTCCTGGACCAATGTTACTGGAACACCTTCAACTTTGACAAAGATGTGTACATAAATACACAAAGTCAATCAGAGGGATAATAATCAATGTAAAGGTTCATGTGCATAAATATATACATTATACACACACACATCTATATCTATATCTGTATTATTTATTTTTTGCCACTCATCTCGTCTAGAAGTTATTCTGGGTGGCTTATTAAAGCCAATAAAACATTGAAGCAATAAATACTCTGAATAATAACAATAATTTACAATTAAAAAGATGGGAAGGAAGGGAATAGAATGCAAATGGGAGAGAGGTGGGGTCTTGTCTTAATCCGTCAACCACCTCCAGCGTGATGCAGCCTCATTGGGGCTGCAGGCCAATTGGTAGAGCCAAATCTTCAGGCTTTAATGGAAATTCAGATCTCAAGGCAGGAGCCACAGAAGAAAAGATGGAAACTTTAGCGATTTCCTGGATGCACCAGCTGAAATTCCTTGACCGATGGGGTCTATAGCATGCCCTGTCTGCTGGCATGAGTGGGCAGAACAATCCCATTGGGTGTGATGGTTGCTCAGATAGCTTGGCCCATGCCGTGAAGGGAAGCAAACCATCTACAAGTGCAGCTTGCAGAACAGCAGTGTAACATGGGCCACCCTAGGGACTCCAAGAACTGGCTGCACCACCACATTTTGCATCTGTTAGGCTACGAGAGAATGACTGGTCCAAAATCACACAGCCAGCTGTCACGCGTAAGGCAGGACTAGAACTCACCATTCCCTACTTTCTAGGCAAGCACGTTAACCACTGCACAAAACTGGTTGCGATAGGGGGCTCTTTAGTACATGTATGTACAAATAAATACTAATCCAACAAATTGCAAAAAAAAATGCCTTTCCATTCTATAAAATCAATAATATAATGGATTTGAGGATTTAGTCAGAATCTCAAGGAAAAAGGCATTTCATAAGATAGCAGGCAATGATCCGGCTAATAACCTAGGATTGCATGTCTATGGAGATTCTCAGTCATCCAGGTCATGGTTGTCCCAAAGGTGCTTTTTCAAGATGCAACTGGACTTTCTGGTTTTTCTTTGAAGACGTTTCGCTTCTCATCCAAGAAGCTTCTTCAGCTTTCAAAGAAAAACCAGAAAGTGCAGTTACCTCTTGAAAAAGCACCTTTGGGACTAATGTTGCATGCTTATTCAAAGTTAAGTCTAGAGGAATTTAGTGGGCTCTAGTAGGTATCCCTTACTATAGCAGGTAATTGTGCAGTACAGCACTTTAGAATTGCATTCTTAGTCTCAACTTTTTTGCCCTTACAAATCATTTTGTGCTTTATCACAACATTTTAATTCGTACATACCGGGGGATATCGAGCCTTCTTTTGGCTTGATTTCTCGTTTCAAACTGTTTTAAAACAAAGCAGCAGTTATCTCCAGTCACTGGAACATATTAACCAAACCAATAGGAATATTAAGACCAACTTTTTACCTTTTCATCACTCTGTAAGGAGGAATTTAACAATCCAGAATGAAACATGAATCTCAGGGACGGCGACAACCAATTTACTGTTGATCATAGACAAGCAGCAACCGAAATGGCGCACAACGATGACTTATTAAACCGGCGACTGAAACCTTCATCCGCGTACACCGCAGTGCTTGCCCATAATCAAGATGGCAGTCGGCGGCGGTTTTCCGGAGTTTTCGCTTTGCCCTTTATCAACATGGCGATTTCCCGTGCCCGCAAATAAAATGCGGAATCTCCATTTTGGTCTGGGGCGCTGAAACGCCGCCTTTGATTCGCCAAGGTCTGAAATTGAATGGTGGTTTTTTGTTTGTTTGTTTGTTTTAAACGTTAAAAAAAGTCATGTTAAAAATCGGGCAATGTTTTCCTCTACCGTGGCAATAAAAGAGACGACCTTAGCTCTTCGCAGCGAGAAATAACCCTTCAGTAACTGCATTCTTTCTCCGGAGCCGGGCTACTGTCAAACGTCCGCTTCCTTGCCCGCATCAAAGATGATTCCGTCCTCTTCTCGTGCTCCTACTTGCTCAATGGGAGGCTTTAGAAACTCTTGCTGAATAAGGTTTGGGCAAAAGCTTCCCAGCCCTGAGGGCTGTTTCTTGTACCTGGGTCGCTACTTTTTGGGGAGGCGACCGGTCCCCGAGTAAGTTTAGGGCTACTCTTTTTGGACTCCCCCCCCCCCGCTTTCATTTCACGATTTATTTTTTAGCGCGCTCGTTCAAGTTTTGAGTTAGGAGGAGAGGGAGAAGGGAGAACTGGCATTAGCATGGCTGCAGAATCCTCCCCGAGCGCTTCTCCTGCTCCAGCTGACAGGGCTCAGGCAGAAAACCAAGAGGGAGACGCCGGGGAAAGGAGCAAACAGGCAACCGCCAAAGCCCGCTGGACACTTCTCAGACAGGTATGAAAAGTCAATGGCCGCTTGTCGCCCCCCGTCCCCGTCCCCCACGGGAACCCTGCTGCATCCCCTGGCATTTGTCTAGCATTGCAGATGCGCAATGATTTCGCTCCTCTTCCTTTGCATATAAGTTATTGCTGCCTCTTGTTTCACTGATGAGGCGGTAAAGCTGATCTCGAATGACGCCCCCAACAGTTTTCTTGCAAGCTAATAACTGGCCGCCAAGGCAAAGGGCAGAACCGGCGATTCTCTTGCAGCTCTCACATCTTTTCAGGGAGATCCTGGCAATCTGCGTTATTCTTTTTATAATCTGAGAAGCAAGCCCCGAGGGAAACGGGTCTGACTGACAGATAAACTGGACCTATTCTGCTTCGGTTCTGAATGTCAGGGGATTTCCTGCTCTGAAACTTGCTATCACACCTGCTTTTGAGAATGAAAGGGCTTAACTTTGAGTTTGAAATGAGAGTAACAATAATAGAATGGCTGTGGCAAAAGAAAGCAAAGGTAGTAGCAATAGTAATAGATGCCTTGGGTGCATTTCCAAAACATCTGGAGCACCACTTGAACACCTTCGACATTGACAAAATCACCAACAGTCAATTGCAAAAGGCAGCTTTACTTGGAACAGCTGCGACAATACCTGTGACATCTGCCAATTTCAGTTCCTAGGGAAAGACTTGATAGATGGATAAAAAATACCAAATCCAGTCTAAACATCTGTCTGATTGTGTAACAGACATAATAATATATTATCATAGTGCAACACACAACAGTGTCTTGTGCAATAGTGTCGTGCAAAGAATGGAAAGTTATTGTATGTTTGTGTACCTGTTCTGTGAGGCAAATACGGTCAGTATAATAGCTGATTCTCATCCTGTAATTTATTTAATACAATACAATAGCAGAGTTGGAAGGGACCTTAGAGGTCTTCTAGTCCAACCACCTGCCAAGGCAGGAAACCCTATACCGTTCCAGACAAATGGCTATCCAACATCTTCTTAAAGACTTCCAGTGTCGGGGCATTCACAACTTCTGGAGGCAAGTTGTGTTCCACTGATTAATTGTTCTAACTGTCAGGAAATTTCTCCTCACTTCTAAGTTGCTTCTCTCCTTGATTAGTTTCCACCCATTGCTTCTTGTTCTACCCTCAGGTGCCTTGGAGAATAGTTTGACTCCCTCTTCTTTGTGACAACCCCTGAGATATTGGAACATTGCTATCACGTCTCCCCTAGTCCTTCTTTTCATTAAACTAGACATACCCAGTTCCTGCAACCGTTCCTCATATGTTTTAGTCTCCAGTCCCCTAATCATCTTTGTTGCTCTTCTCTGCACTCTTTCTAGAGTCTCCACATCTTTTCTACATCGTGGCGACCAAAACTGAATGCAGTATTCCAAGTGTGGCCTTACCAAGGCTTTATAAAGTGGTATTAACACTTCATGTTGTCTTGATTCTATCCCTCTGTTTATGTAGCCTAGAACTGTGTTGGCTTTTTTGGCAGCTGCTGCACACTGCTGGCTCATATTTAAATGGTTGTCCACTAGGACTCCAAGATCCCTCTCACAGTTACTACTATTGAACAAGATACCACCTATACTGTACCTGTGTATTTCATTTTTTTTGCCTAAATGTAGAACCTTACTCTTTTCACCATTGAATTTCGTTTTATTAGATAGTGCCCAATGTTCAAGTTTGTCAAGACTCTTCTGTATCTTAAGCCTGTGTTCTGGAGTGTTGACTATTCCTGCCAGCTGCAAATTTGATGAGTTCCCCATTCATTCCCTCATCCAAATCATTGATGAAGATGTTGAAGAGTACTGAGCCTAAAACAGAGCCTTGGGGTACTCCACTGCATACTTCCTTCCATGTAGATGCAGTTCCATTGAGGACTACCTGTTGAGTGCGGTTGGTCAGCCAGTTATGAATCCATCTGGTGGTGATGATGTCCAACCCACATTTTTCTACTTTATCTAGTAGTAGGTTATGGTCTACCTTATCAAATGCCTTATTGAAGTCCAAGTAAACTATATCGATGGCATTCCTCTGGTCCACTAATTTTGTCACTTTGTCAAAGACGATATAGTTCAGTGGTTCTGAGATCTCATCTGCCAGTTCCTTCAGAACCCTGGGATGTAATCCATCCGGTCCTGGTGATTTGAACTTGTCTAGGGTAGACAGGTGCTCACTTACTATTTTCTTCCCTATTTCAATTTGTGTTCCTAATCTGATTTTTGTGGTGCTGTTTTTGATAGACTGGACTGTTTTATTCCTTTGTGTAAAGACAGATGCAAAAAAATGAGTTAAATAGTTCTGCTTTCTCCCTGTTGCTTGTTACCTTCTTGCCACTTTCTCCCAGCAATGGACCAATTGTTTCCTTAACCTTTTTTCTTCTTTTTAAAATGTTGGAAGAAGCTTTTTTTTGGTTATTTTTTACTTTTGTGGCAAGCCTTTCTTCATTGTGAGCCTTTGCTTTCCTTACTTCATCTTTACAGGCTCAGGCTATTTGCTGATATTCTGCCTTAGTTATGTCCCCTTCTTTCCACTTTTTATACTTAACTTTTTTGTCTTTCAATTTGTCAGAGAGTTCTTTATGCAGCCATGCTTTTTTAGAATATTTTTTCATCCTGTTTTTATTCCTTTTATATGTAGCTCAAGGGTACAAATATATTTGACAACAACTCTCTGTGGTAGGTTGAGCTGAGAGAAAATGACTAGCCAAAGTCACACACTTACTTTCATATTTAAGATGGAAATAAAACTCATGGTTTCTTGGTTTCTAGGCCAGCACCTTAACCATTCACTAAACTGGTGCTTTCCTTTCTTCTTGCCAGATGTTGTTCCCTGTTGTAAGGCATACTATAATATATGGAGCAGCACTCACTTGTAGAATGTTGTACGAAAATGTAAGTTGTAAATAGCTATAGAACAGATTGGACAACTGTTTCTCTGATATAGGGTTTCCAGCTTGAGCAGAGGCTTGGACTAGAAGACTTCCAAGGTCTCTTCTAACACTGTTATTCTGTTACCAATATGTACTGTATGTTTCAAACAGACCATGAAAGACATCGCCTAACAAAACAAGTATCACATTGCTCCTCAAAAGAAATGGGAAATGATACAGATTCTGGAAAATCCAGTTATTCTCTCTTTAACAAACATAGTTCAACACATTTTCAAACTAATGTTAACTCGGTGTTTTACAGTATGTTTTAAAGTTTATTAAAACATTGACAATGGTTATTTTGTTGCAGTTTCCTTAACTTGAGACATGATGTTTTTCATTATAGGTTTTGAAGCAAAAGCCCTTGGAGAATGCCAACCTTCAGCAAATATCAGTAAGACGATTTGCTTCATTTGGTCTCTTCTCAATAACTGAGGACAGTAATATGACAGAAGATGACTCAAGGTTGTGGGTTCAGTACAAAAGTAACTATTATCCTGACTATATTATATCATTAAGGTAAATATTCCAGTTCTGCAAATATTTTCTATGTCTGCATATTGTTTATTTTCCTTTTTTTAGTTTTTACTTAATGACAAAATGAAATTATTTCAGCCAAGGCTGGACTCAAAACTCTATCATCAGTTAAATTTTTAAGTTGAATTGGACTTTCATATACACTGCCTATTTCTAGATTAAATTTTCTGTTACCCTATCAGTTTGAAGTCTATCAGTTTGAAGTAAACTAAATCCAATCCATTTGATTTCCATTGACTCTTATCTAACTCTAACCAAGTGAATACCCATTAGCTGAGACGATCCCTGTGCATAGGCCTTTAGCAATCAATAAGTGAACCTTCACATGTGGTCGTGCCTGACAATAACACATGGTAACCTATTGTATCTGCCTACTTTTTCTTTATAAACATCTTGTAATTTTTGTGATCTGATTTGTGGTCACAGTACTGTTTATAACTGTTGATAAACTTCATTTAGTGTTACAAAATTACCAGGGTAGGGTAGAATAAAAATATAAGTTTATATTTAAAAATACAAAGATAAAAGTAGCTTTGCATAGTGAACTGTAAGAGAAAAGTTGCAGAGGAAGAAAGGAAAACTTTTTTTTTCTAACATAAAGCAGCCATTAGGTTATTATTACAGTATTAATATAAATGCATAATATAAGTCCAAAGGAGTTGACTAATTCTGTAATTTGTATACAGAGTCCTATCTTCATAGTAAGGTTGTCCTCCAACATATTACATTCTAGCAGAGCAGGCAAGCACAGGGAAACTGAA